TAGACTAACTGAAAAAAAATTTTGCAATAAGAATAAAGTTAAAGTATTTAAAAAAAAAAAATTATTTTTAAGATTGGAACAACAATAAATTAAAAATGCCACACCAGTGTTTATTCCATCCTGGGTATGACGATAAACTACATCCACGTCCTGGGGAAGACAATAATAAACTATGTCCAACAGCAAGGCCTCTGATCAGGAGGCTTTGAGGAGCATGGGACGACCTCTTAATTGCTGGTGCTCCCAGGTCCACCCTGACCTGGCGTGGTAGCACTTGTCAGGGCCCCAGATATGGGCAAATAGTTAACCCACAAACTGGGGTCGAAACATTATGAAAGTGTAAAAATGGGTTTTAATACCAGAAATACTTTATAAAAAATTATTACCAGAAATACATTTTTGAAAAAAAAAAAAAAAAAAAATTACCAGCTATACATTTTTGAAGAAAAAATATTACTAGAAATAGATTTTTTGAATGAGAAAAATATTACCAGCAATACATTTTGGAAAAAAAAAAAAAAAAAAAAAAAAAAATATTACCAGCAATAAAAATTTTGTCGGCATTATAACCCATTGAAGTTGATATGCCGTAAAACAAAAACAAAAAAAAACACAACGAAACCAGAGTTTATTTTTTTTAGTAATTAATAATAAAAGCAAAATAACGAAAAGGTGGATTACAATAATTTTCAAGTTAGGACGAGGAAAAAAATGCATTTTGTAATCAACTGGAATTCATTATCAATTATTAATTCAGTTTAATTTGGATTTATTTAATTTTTAATTTAACCAATGAAATGTTTTCTCTCGGGATGATAAACATGCTTTTTCAAACATTATCTGTATCACATTGCAGACTGGTTTGAGTTTATAATTTAAAAACATTTAAGCAAAATTAGTATTCAGATCTTTATCACGGTTAAAAAATACCACAAAACCTAATTTAAAAGAACCTGTTTTGTCTAATTTGAGGCAAGTGCACGTCCAACCACTTTACCATAAAAGCAAGCAGGGTAACGAAAATGAGTTGTTAATAATCATGACAATTTATTAAAAGCTTACCTTCGTAAAGACGCAAGGTTAAAAAAAAAAAAAAATACACGTAGAAAGATTGCAGTGCGCCAAATTTTCCAAAGGGGGGCTTGTTTGCATTTTAAAAAGAAACTGGCAATAAGTGCCTGAACTTGAATACTAACCAGCGGTTAGATAAGCATTTTTAAATCCACAAATAAATTACAAAAATAAAATGCTGGTGTCAGTGAAAAGAAAAATAGGAGGTAAAAATGTTCCTGTATTTTTATGACAACTGGCAATCTATATATTAATAATTAATTACGGGTTTCATGTATATTATAATAATTATAATAATCAGAATGGTAATTTTTTTGATTTAATTTAAAAATAACTTGTTTTTTTTTTTTAAATATTTTAAAAACGTGATCCCACCCTTTGAACGGGTGAATGAAAATTGGAAACAAAGCATGTTTTTTTCTCTTTTTCCTTTAAAATCATACAATATTTCTCAAGCTGTTAACATCTACAGTCTATACAAATAATCAAAAAAATAAATAAGAAAAAATCCTAAATTTTTTAACCAACAATTTCCTCCTTGTTGTTTAAAAAGAGAAATTTACCTTTTTACACATTGTTATGTGCGAGTTTTTTTGTTTTTTTAAAAGCAAATACTACCTAAAGTCGAATTTCTAATCTATGATGATTTTTATGGAAACCATAAGAGTTGTCTATGAAGCATCGAATGATCATGAATTATTTAATTAAACTTTTTAAAGGGGGCGAAAAAAATAACTAACAACGTCCTCCCTCGAAACCGTGGACATTTTTCTTATTAAAAATAACTTCGGTAAAAATAAGATTTAGAGGGAAAAATTTAGTTTAGAAAGGGGATAAGTATATGTACAATAGTAGAAATGTATATGGGAATATTCAGAAGGTTGTAACATAATCTAGTTTCAATACTTACGTGAAAAATGACAAAGAAAATAAGCACAGCGGTAAGAATTAGCGCAAGGATGTAGCAAAAAGCCGCAAACGTAAACGCCATTTCTGTTTGCTTGCTAACCAAGGGAGATAATTCGTGTTACTTGAACAAACCGGAGTAGGAGTTATAAAAATAGACGAAGTAGGAGATGAAGCTATTGAAATATATAAAGTAGGAATGGCTGAGTAGGAGGCTTTGTATGTATGCGTGTGAGAGAGAGGAATGCAATGAAAAAAGAATAGAACAGATAGTAATTCAAAAATAAAAGCAGGGTCTGAATTAAACTAAATGTAAATACTGTTGTTAGCCAAATTCTCGAGATTAAAAAGAAAATAGAGTCTGATATGGCTACTTTTTGCATGACTTTTCTTCAGCTTGAAGTCAAAGAAAAAAAAGCAGCCAAAAGGAGGAAAAAAGATGAGATTGAGAGATAATTATTTAATAACAAAATAAGAAATGTGATATGATGAAAGAAGCTTTCAATGAGAACTCCTAACCGGTGCGCGGTGACTAACAGCTGCTGTAAAAATGTAAAAAGAAATACACACATTGTCATGGAAGAATGCTTCTGGAAGCGAATGTGTAAAAAAGAAAAAGCACGCTTCAAATTAAATTAATCACTCATTAGTTATCATCGATACAAAAATTTAAAACAAAGCCAATTTCAACGAAGATTTATTTCTTTACTCCATGAAGTTTGCCTACAGTTATAACGGCACAGGAAATGGAATAAGCGAATGAAGTTCAAATTCTAGCTATGAAGTTTTTATTATTCATTTCTTCACAATAATACTTTTTTTTTTTTTTTAACTTTTCAGAAAGGCACTGCAGCCGAAGAGAAAGAAAAAAATTGATGAGAAATAATTCTTCTTACTTACCCGGAGACAGGAAATAGAAAAATGTTAACTGAACAACGTTAGATTTAAATCCTTTTTTTTCACTAAGGAGGCAATATGAATGGTGGGTAAGCAGACAGTATAAAAAAAAGAAAGCCTGACACAAGGAGTGAGGCACCATTTTTTGGTATTCTGTTGCATTGAAAAGACGTTGGATTGGGTTGGATTGGATTGGGTTGGGTTGGGTTGGGTTGGGTTGATGTGGGGGAGGACATCTTATGAAAAAGGCTAGAGGCAAGTGGGAGAGGAGGAGAAAGTTATGACGATTATTAATCAGATGATTTGACAGATTTAGTAAAAAGGCTGGGTGAAGGCATATTACTTCACTTTTCTGGACAAGGGTGAAGGCACCATTCTTGAACCGAAACTACAAGCACATATCCATTTCTTCCAATAAACCAGGCTCGGTCAGTTATGTGCCATGTGTAATACACACTTAGGTGATCATTATCTTTCAATATGTGACTGGCTAGGCAGATTTCTTTCTTGCAGTAGGTTGCCATTTCTTTCTGCAGTAGAGCAGTGGCCATTCAAGGCTATAGAACCTGGTCTGTCCTACTATTTATCCATAGCTGGGGGTAGGAAGAAGAGGATTCATACCTTTTCCAAGGGTATTAACATGTAAGTGAATGTAATGGATTCGACTAGAATTTGAAATCGGCTCTCCAATTCCTCAATCCGAGCCGCTATCTATTACTCCATCATGCCTGCCTAAACCAAGTTAGGAAATACTATGTACCGCCAGCATCAAGTAAGTCCCATTACCCTGAGAAATGTCATGTAGTACCTAACATGGTACCCTGGCTATCTACGACAGTGGTTTCCAAATGTTTTCTAGCTGCTGCTCCCTTGGCTCCTAGGTAACATCTGTAGAGCCCACTCCCCAACCCATATAAAGACACTTCTTTCTTGATCTTAGGTATACTTCTTCTACATGTTTTTCAGGACTTGGTGATCATGGATCTCCACAATTTCTTATCCCTTATAGCTTTTAGCAACTTTTGTCCCTTTTCCACCCCCTGCTCCTCATTCTGTCACCCATTCACACAAGTGCATCAGGTAGGTGGCCTGATGCCGCCACCGTTCCTCTCGCTCTTGATATGCCCTTTGAGTGTCATATTTTCCAAGCCCTCCTTCCTTATTATCTGCCTGAGAAATGTCAGCTATCTCTTTCTGATCCTAAGTATCCTTTTTGTTTCTATTTTCCTTCAGAATTCTTTACTTCTTACATGTTCAGTTCATGGAATTCTCAGCATCCCTCTGTAGAACCAGATTTCAGTTTTCTCTTTATCTGTGGGCAGATTGTCCAGCATTAACTGCCATACAAGAGTAATGATATTATATAATAGTTATGCATTCTTTTCTTTGTTTCTAATGAAATTTTCCCGTTTCTTAGTATTTTGTTTAGATTTTCGGATGCATCTTTTGCTCATCCAATGTGTGTTCAAACATTGGTGTCATATTTTCTATCCTCCGTTGAGACACTTTTTAGATATTTAAACTTCGGTATTTGTTTGAAATTGACTACAAAGCTCAAAGCAATTAATCTAACACCAAAAAAACATCTTACTATTTACACTATTTAGATAGTTTGAACCTTTGTCCACATCTTTGTTGCCATATTCACGATGTTTCGGCAGTTGTATGCTTCGGCCTTCTTCAGGTGATTGGAATTTTGAACTGAACCCTTTATTTCGTTCACCGGGGTAGATTGTTCTACTTCCGGAAATCTCAGTTTCAGTTATTTCCCTTTAGTAACTCAACTCTCCAAGTTTTTGTCCACCTTTGCTGTGGGCAGGCATTGAACTCACAACTCTTTTGTATCAAGTCACTAGATTACTTGAACCAGCACTTTTATCAACTAGGAAACACTTTTCCGCAGTAGGCTACTGTTTCTTTTTGCAGTAGGCTGTTGTCAACCAAGGCTATAGGGCTCAGTCTGTCCTGTTATTCAACTCATAACTGGGAGTAGAAGAGATTCATTCATACTTTTCCCAAGGATATTTGTGTGTAAGGGAATGTAACGAACCTGACAGGAATTGGAACTTGGATTTCTGATTTCTCATTCTAAGCTGATATCCATTACACCACACAACATATCCAAGCTGGTATTCCCAAGTGGTCACCCATTTAGGTACTGGCCAGGCTCGACATTGCTTAGCTTTGGTGATCGGATGGGAACTGGTGTTTCAATGTGATATAGCTACAGGGCCGGCGCATACTACCCACAAAGCCTCCGATCGGAGGGGGTTGATTGGGGGTCCTGGGCAGTGCTTTGTAATCCTCGCTGTCTTATCAACATTTACTTTTTTTTCTACCTACATTTATATACGTTACAAATTAAACTAAGCAAAACTGACTATTAAAGGATGAACAATTTTCAGATTTTGGCATCATTCTGGGGTCTTTTTTCATCCAAATCTGTGAGTTTGTTTTGTCCCCATGTTAAGTCTTGAAAAAACACTACATAAAATTCAATATTTTTTATCCATAATGTTGAATGTACTAAGACTATTCAATTTTTTAACAAGAAAAATCTTAAGTTGGTTTAGTTTTTGTCTATTTCAATAATTAAATGTGTAAAGTTTCTTACAGAAATATTTTATAGTACATGAAATAGTGTTGGTGAAAAAGGGTACATGCACAAAATAACAGACCAATTGATTTGCAATGCAGGATAACATTTATTAAACAAAATTAATAAAAAGAAACTTTAAAACAAGAGTTTCTTTTTCGAGAAGTAAATTGCATACACAAAGAAATATTCATGAATATATTTGAGTGGGACTTACTGTGTTGGTGTTTTTTAGTGTGAAGTGTTCACAGCACTTTTAGCTTCAGCATGGAAGATTCATGTCACCAGTTCGAAAGAGGAAAACCCAGAAAAGAGAGTTACTTTAGGGTTCACATGTTTTTTATATTCCGAAGCTGCTGCTACTTCTACTATGTTCAAGGGCTGCTACTGATACTTTATTTCTTAAGGCACTACATTGGTGTTAAAAATTGCTGCAGAACATTGTTGATTTATTTCAGATGGAATGATCTATTATGACATGTCTCTAATTCGTATTTTAGATACATTTAATTTATTTTCACTTTTTCTAATTGAATTGTTCACCTATATTGCATATGATCCATTATTGTACATAATTAAGTTACAATAAAATTTGTATTTTATATCAATACTACCTTATGAAAATTGAGATGTAGTAGAGTTGTGGGCCCTGTATCATAGGTTTGGGGTAGGGGCAGAAGATCCTTGCACCACCCCTGTATGGCCGTAAGTTGTAGTTGTATCACTACACCTCAAAATCTAGAACCCTGGCTCCTGTAGATTTTAACTGTTTGATCTGGTTGATGTGTGGCATCTCCTGTCCAGCCAAGGTCAACAAGATACAAACACACTTTTGTATTTTTAACTTTAGAGAACAAAATAAAATAAAACCATGCATCTGTGTGTAGAGTAGAAATGGAAGGTATCATTAGATAATGAGGGATTTTCACAGGCAGACATAAATTACCTTGGCCAGGTATATTTTTTGTATTTGTATCTCATTGGTACACCAGGATGTAAATGGCATGCTAGCAAGTGCAAGACAATGCCTATTTTGACCTGCTTGGATGCCAGATGACCGTGATTGTGATAGGAAAATGGATCACCCAAATTTGGAGAGATAATTAATTTTCCAAAGCCAGACAACAAAGAAGTCTTGTTGGAAGACCAGAGAAAGCCTTAGTCCCCAAACTGACTTGAGCCTTGTTCCAGAATTAGCTTTGAGAGGTAAAGTGTCATTATAGAAATCAAAGTAGGAAGGGTTCATTTTTTTTTTCTGTATGAAAATCTACATAAACCACATAGAAAATTGACCCAAAGGATTCCTGTTTTCTTTTTATCATCTGCAAAGAAAATTTTTATTTTTCCTTTATGACACAGCTTCACCATGGCTGAAAGCAATGCTACAACTGCTGGGGAGAAATCAGTCTGTAGTAGCTTCATGATCAAAAAGAACAATGTGGGAGGGATAGGGTGTAGATTGAGGCAGCCAACATTCAACAACCAGTGGCAGTATCAACCAGCATGGGAATTGAGCCAGAACCAACTGGCAAGAAGGGTTATTATCATTATTTGTCCTATGACAAGGATATCCTTATTGCTCCTGTGATGAGGATGTCATCATTCCTCCTGTAACGAGGATGTCCTTGTTCATCCTATGATGAGGATGCTAGTTCAATCTTGGTTGAGGATGTCCTTATTTAGCCTGTGACTTGGATGTCATTATTTGCCCTGTGATGAGGAGATCTTTACTCCTCCTGTGATGAGGATGTCTTTATTCCTTCTGTTCTGAGGATGTCATTCCTCCTGTGATGAGGATGTCATTATTTGTCCTGTGTTGGGGATATCCTTATTCCTACTGTGATGAGGATGACTTTATTCCTTCTGTGATGAGGTTGTCCTTATTCTTCCTGTAATTAGGATGTCCTTATTCATTCTGTGATGAGGATGTCTTTATTTTTCTTGTTATGAAAATGTCCTTATTCATCCTGTTATGATGATATCATTATTGCCCTGTGATGGGGATATCATTCATACCATAATGATGTCTCTATCCATCTCATAATGAGGATATCCTTGTTCGTCATTCTAGTACAAGACTGATAATGGTAGTTAGATTCAGTTTTCATGATTAGATTTAAAACACTAGAAAAAAAAAATGCTAGAAGTGTCTCTTTTCTTTTCAAGATTACCTTTTTTATTCTTAAAAATGGATGTAGATTTCTTATTTTGCATTTTTCTCTTCAGGTTAAAGAAAATTCCAAGAAAAGAAAACCAAGCTACAAAAAAGGAAGGAACATGAAAATGAGGAAAGGAAGAAACAAGGAATTGTGTTGACAACAGCAGCCAATCTTCTTGATGATGACATGAATGCTGGTGCTAATAAAATACTGCTCGATGTAGAATAACACTGGTATAATTTATATATTAATAATAAATATATATTAATTATCTTCACCATAGCACAATGCTGTGTTTTGTGCACAATGCAATCTTCAGGTGCAGATTGAAAACTGGCCATTATAAAATTTAAATTTTTATATATACACACCAGACTATAATGATAGTGGTGGAGTCCATATTATTTACAGGTTGGGTTTAAAATCATAATAAATGTAAATAAATAAAAATAAGTGTAAATGGATAAAAATAAATATAAATAAATAAAGATAAAATAAAATAAAATTAAATAATAAAAAACATAATAATAAACTTAAATAAATAAATAATATATACACATATAAACATATGTACAAAAAACACATATCTACACAATTTATATACCTCCAATTACAAAAATGTAATTATAATTAATATACAAATATACACGTCTAAGTAATTATAAATATAATACAACTGTACACACAACTAATAAGTGCGTTGTTCATGAAACTCAAGTTGTAGTTATGCTTAAATAAAAAAAATAAATATTTAAAGAAAAATATTTATTATTAATACACACATATATATATATATATATATATATATATATATATATAGATAAAATTTGAATTAGTAAGAGATAAAGGGAGACAACTCATTTGAATCTAAATCTAGTAAAGGGATTAAGTTTCAAGATGGTTCTAATATAATGTTTACTCAATGTTACAAAGCTCCAGATTTCTTTTATTTCAGCAGTTATTTCTTTACATACATATGAATATACAGATGACAAAGGCAGAATAAAATATGCGATTTAAAGCAGTTGTTGACAGAGATTCAGAATTACTAAAAAACAAAGAGTCTCTATTATATAGACGTAACAGAGCCTTTATATAGTGTTTGGTTTTTCATTTTTCATATGATATGGAGACACACTTAATCAGTGACTGCATAGCAAGATTCAGCTGCAGGGGAAAGAAATAGTCTCATTGCAGATGAGTTTATAAATATTTCTATGTATATTTATAGCATGTATGAGTAGGTGCTGAAAAGTCCTCAGCCCAGCTAATACATCTTGCGAAGAACATCTGATGTTTCAGCATTCAGTCAAATTTTGAAAAGTGGGTCAGGCTCTTCATGTTTCAGCAAACCTCATAGATATTGGCATTTATGTTTAAACTATGTGCAAAAGGGAGCAGGTTGAAATGCTTGCCGTTTGACAAACTTTTTTTTTCAATCATTTCACCCCAAGTGAGGCAGAAATGCCACTGGTATTCAGGTGGTTACAGAGAGTGAATGTGAGGGAAAGGACTGGGTATAGGGGAGGATTGGGGAAAGGATAAAAGACAAACGTGATTCAAGAAGACAGAAGATGGCAATTGATGTTGCATTGAAATTTTTGAAGACTGTAGTTTTCAGGGAAGCAAGTAAATGAAAGTGAGTTCCACAGCTGGGAAGTGCGAGAAAAGAAACTGTTACATTTAACTATTTCAACAGTAAAAAGGTGGGACCTAGATGCCAATCTAGTAGCATGCTTAAATTCATGTATTTTCAGAGTAAAAAACTCATCAGAGCAGTTGCTATGAAAATATTTGTAGAAAAGACAGAGGGAAACTACATCACATTTGTGAGAAAGTGCCTAAAGTTGAGATGCCAAGTCAGGAATGATTACATCGCAGATCCTTCTCTAGATTTTGTCAAGAATCTCAAGATGAATAGCAGGACACCAGACCAGATATGGCAACAGTATTCAATGCAAGGACAAATGATAGATTTGTAAATGTGCAAGGTGGACTGACAAGAAAAAATCTTCTTGCATGACACAGTGAACCAAATTTCCTTGCACTAGATGTAGCTATTGATTTAATGTAGTTGTTCCACTTCAAGTCAGATGAAAACATGAGGCCAAGAAGGCGCAGTGTGTTGCACTCCAGGAGTCTAGCATCAGTCAAGCTGATGGCAGGCAGGTGAGTTTCTCTATGGTGGTTAAATGAGAGTAGTTTAGTTTTAGAGGCATTAAAATTTACAAGCCATCTCCTGCCCCAGTTAGCCACTGATTAGAGGTCCTTTTCAAGAGTAGTGGACAGGTGAACTTTGTCAGTTTTGACTGATTTGCTATTGAGACAGCAGTAAATGGTTGTGTCATCGTCTGCATAAATGTTTACTTGGGAACTGTTGACATCAGGAAGATCGTTGATGAAGATCAGAAATGCTGTAGGATCCAGGATTGCGCCTTGGGAGACACCTGTGTCAGTGTGAAAGGATTCGGGA